AAGTATGAATAAAAGAAGAAAAAAATCAACAACAAAGGGGAATTTCTAAAATGTAGCTATGATAGCAAGAAGTATGTTTCTTTCTGTCTCGCCAAAGCTTGATTTCGATACCTTTCTTTTAAGTTTTAAAATTTACAATGGGCATATACTGAAAATTATGAAAGTCAGAATTATGAATTCATGATTTTTCACACTTTTCTCTGTCTCACCATGACCTGTATATCGATACAAGATTTGTACCATATTGGAGGTACGGACAGTATAAAATAAACGTGGCGGGACGTGACACTGCGTGTTTCCAATAAAGCGTCAACAATAAGTGGTGGGGTTAAAACTTGAAAATTATCGAGCGTCTGAAACAAGTGTGAAATGGTAACGCTCGTATTCCAAAAATGTATGAATATTTCCATAGACAATAACGAAGAAAACCAAAGCACTAGTGTTTGGACATTTTGCATTTGCTAAACTGTACTACTTTCCACTCGGAACGAACGCTGTTTTGCCATGAAACTTCTTAGTCTTCTAAACTGGCTCCTATGTATTGCTGATGCTCTTGCAACTGCTTTGTAGTTGAAACCATTCGACAGCACGTCCTTAATTCCTAATTTCCTACAGGTAGCTTTACTAGAATTTAAATGAAAACATTAAAAGTATGTGTTATCTCAATTGAAATGAAATACATATATATACAAAATGAAATACAAAAAGATCCTTAATACATAACTGTATACAAAAGTTTATATACAAATAACATGTACTTTGTACTTGTTATGTGACCTAAGTTAACTATTGATACTGAACAAGTGAATAAAGTTTCAATATTATATCATAACTGGTTTATGGGACAATATTTCATAAACCATCTGACAAAACATTTTAGCTTTAAAAATGGGCATAAGTATGTCAAATTGTGCGCCACTCATACGAAACTTGGTCATTGATCTTAGATGTCAACACTTAATATGTGTTCAAAGTTTCAAAGGAATCGATAAATAGTGTTTGAGAAACCATTTTTCATGAAAATTCTAAACCAAGAATTCAAAATCGAAAAATTTGAATTTGATAACAATGCAATTCAGAGATTTCTAACTTAGAGCGTGTTCTAAACAAGTGTGTTAAGTTTCAAAGTTGTATGATTTATTGTTTTTGAAATACCATGTTTCATGAAAACTTCTTAACCACAAATTTCTTTGTCAAAATAAGGCCTATAATTTGGTCAATATTCAATATTAGATGGACGAAGAATAAACTACGGGTGAAAACCGATTGTAACTGCAGCAAACAACAATGCGAGACTGGTTTGGATTTAAAACTGGAACCCATATAAAAAATAAAGCGTTAGATTCATACGCTGTATGTCAATTTGAGATTATATATCCATGTTCCGGAAATCAAAATAAAAAATGGATACTCAATGCAATGCAATGCAATGCAATGCAAGCAATGTATTTTATTTTCTTAATCAATTTAAAAGGCTTATATAAGAATAACATTCTGTGCTTGCATATGAGCTAACATATTTTGTTTTTTAAATAAGTCTCCAGGAAACTTAGGTAAATGAACTTACCTCGTCGGAATCGTTGTCATATTCTACCATATTTTCCTTGGAAATTATAATCATAATGGCAAGCACGTGGGAAATAACAAAATCCATAAGTCAAAAATCAAAAGTCATAAATCAAAAGTCATAAATCAAAAGTCATAAGAAAATAGTAAAATAAATCTATAAGTCGAAACTCAAAAGAGACCCTCCAAGGCTTCCATACCTTAGATAGTAAAAGGAAGTTTTGAAAAAGTAGACAAAATGTACATGTATATGAAAATTCGAAAGAATTGAGTAAATTTACTTGAATATATTACTACCACAGGTGTCTGACGTCTAATTGTTAATATACACTTCATACCTTCTATATAAATTATTATAAATATAGTGGAGGGGGGTGTTAGACTTCTACGGAAAGGTTTCAGCATCATACACATTCTTACGTGTGTAACAGCAACACGGTGTCAGGCTAGTGTAATTAGCCACTATAGTATTCCGTAGTCACGGTTTGCATTAGTTCTGATACAACATGTACAGCATTGTCAATTTAAAAGAACACCATAATATAATATATATCAAATGCCTAAATCATAAATTACAGTCGGGTTATGTTAGCATGAAAACGATACATTTCCTATTTACACCGGTGCTTGGGTGAGGAGGTTGGGCGTGGATGGTAGCTTGCATTTAGGACAGTCGTCAATGAACAATTGAACATGTTACTTCAAATCGTGTTTGCATCACTATGCCATGTTGGCAGAAATTTAAGGGTTTCTCTTTTTATAATAGAATTGTATATCAGTTGGATTGTTTGCTTGTTTACGAAAAAAGTACATTCGATGATCCAATTGTTCTAAAATCGACAGAGAAGTAAAGCTGCCACAAGGAATGGTCGTCTGGGGACTCGTGAACTTTCCCGCGCTTTTCTGTCTGTGTGGTAGAGCCAAACTTGTCATACTTACATTTCCTAATTAGATATCCGGATTTAAAGGTTAATCTAGCGAAATTGTCGAGTCAGCATTTCTTACAGCCGTAATCCGTACTTATGTCGGCTTCATTTGTTACTGAAATAAAATAATCGTAAATTGAGCATATTATCTTATTCATAAAAATATTAGCGTTTTGTTAAGTCGGAATTTTCCCTGTTACTTAATGATAGCGAGCCCAATCAACTAGAAAATAGTATGTCATATTTATAGATTTAAATGAACGTCAATTATGTTTTGTTATAGAAAATATGTATAGCATATTTTAGCGTTTTTTGAACATAAAATGTTTATGTGCATGGATACGTTTACGCCAAAAGTAACTCTAATCTTTAGTACCAAGAGTGTTAGCCAAATATCAGTGTAAAAGATAGTGTAAGACAAAGATGTACCAAGGAACCATGCACATGAATATACACGACATTTCGAATTTTAGTATTGCCCGAAAGTACATGAGTAATTTAAACTAAAGTAGTGCGATATTGAACGCGCAACCCTCGTATTTTGTGGCCAAATTAGGTTCTCACCGTGTACTTCGCCTTTACTTTATTGTGATTTGGCGAATCTTATTTGGGTAAAAGCTAACAAAAGCAAACACAAATGTTGACATTTCACACTCAATGGTCTGCAACCGTAAATAAAGACTAAATATTTAGATAACGTGGCCCTCGGTTTAAAAAGTTTACATAGTGTACAGAATGACACCAATCTTTGGTGTTATTCAATAAAGTTCAATACTAGTGCTCTCGTCACATAAGTTGTGATACATTAGTACAAGTAAAACAAAATATATCTTGGCACTTACAATAAATTCCCTACGTTAAATCATCTGCAAAAAACTAACTGACCCCTACACCACCATCCTAACCCCGCAAAAAATCAATCCAAGCATTTAAATGTATTGTTATACTATACATGTACATGCATTTTGATTTTCTTACACGCATTTTGACAGCTGATCATTAGTTATTACTGTTTGAACTGTTACTAATATATCACGTTTAAGTCATTCCTTAACATAAACAAAACCAGAGGGCGCCTAATAATACGGTTGTCATTTATTATGTCTAAATCATACAACGAACTACGTTAGTTTTTTCTACCAAATAACCCGTTCAAATAGCATTAAATCTTTTCATTATAAGTTGTTTATCATTTTGATCAGTTATGTTTTGGGAGATCACAGATATGATTTGAAAACTTTTCAAACATTATCCGCGGATTAATTGATAACTATCTGACCTTAGCACGCACTGTAAAATGTTTTGTATTACTACGCCTCTTGTCGTGCAAAAAATAAAAGCGCGAGCCACCCTTGTGAAATTAAATACAGAAAATTGAATTTTAACTTTCAGATTAACTCTTGACTCTAAATACATGTAATAAGGGAACGTAACGTTCGATAATATTTATAAAACATATATATGTCAAAGGTCAACTAGGAGAAAATATAGGTTAAACTAGAGCAACTTTATATTTCTGCAAGAATTAACAATTTAAAGGACAGAATTTTCCTTCTCTGTGGTTTCAATAGGTACATCCATATCATATTTACCAATAGATGCACTCCAACCTGATCAGAGACGGAACTTTTTAATTCTTTCATGTGAGGATCCAGCTAGCTGACGAAACGTCGGTGGTTCTTCTCAGGTACCCGCTCGTGCCTGAAATATGTCAGGAACCCGCTCGTGCCGGAAATATGTCAGGTACCTGCTCGTGCCTGAAATATGTCAGGTACTCGCTCGTGTCTTAAATAATGCATGGAGGGGGCACCTAATGTCGATCACCACCACCGCTAGAAAGTCTCTATATGACCTATAGAACGTATCAGTGTAACTTTGAAAACCAATCAACATTTCTAAATAAGTTGTGTCAGACTGACATTTTTCTAGCCTTTTATACAAATGTGCTTACAACCTTGAAATGAAATGACTGTTAGCTTTTATTAGCACATTATTATAGTCATAGAAACTTTTCCCCATCCATATTCATTTAACAACGCTTTCCATGCATTGTTAACAGTGCTGCTGGCCGAAAACCTAAAACTTGCTGTTTTAAGTTTCGCGTTCAAAAAAGACATTTTAGCGGGGATTAATTAATTATATGGTTGTAAGAATTTAACCTAATCAAAACATGACGGTGCAATCAGACATCTTGTTGACATATTGATAACTCAATAAGCTTACAGAGATACCATTTAAACATTTCTTGCTGTTTAATGATAATTTATCTATAATTTATAAACAAGCCATACTATTCGTAAATAAACTTATTATAACAATTCATTGAAAATCCGAATGTTTTATCACAGTATATCTAATTCTTACGCGAACACCGTAATCGGGTAAACACAATTGAGGAAATGAACGAAATGACAGATTAAGTCACGCGGAAGAAGTTAAACACACGGCGCAGATTCATTACAGTGACTACAAATACTATATGATTTGTGGGGTGTATTTTAGATGTCAGTCGGTTATTAGTGAACGCGTGGAGAACATCCATTCATTTATTTACCTACATACCTAAACCATAGTATTTCATTTTAGAAAAAATAAAGTTTATAAATACTTGAAGGTTTGAAATAAAATCTCCATCGCTGTACAGTTTACTTATTTACCTTTTTTTTCGTTTTGTTGGATTTATTTGAGTTTATTTGGACTTATTGTGTACAGCATCAGTGTAAACAACAGAATAGATAGATCTGGTTTCGGGAATTAAAAGATGTGGACAAATGCAAAAGATTTGACTTGAAAAGTTGAAAAAAGCGAGCAAACATACAAAAAACAAAAAGATAAAAATAATAAAAATGAAAGTGAATATTTACATTTTAGGTAAGTGTTTTACATGTGTAGTGAAAATTTATTTTTTCTAAAAAAAATCAAAAGGTAACATCTTTAATAATCAAACCATGCGGACCAAAAAAATGTGGAAAGGGATGGGGTGGGGGTAAGGTTACTAAACATTATTGTTACGTAAATAAAATAAAAGTTAAATACAATTGCACAATCGCAAACAACTTTCCAGATAATGGGTTGCAATATCTAAAATATAGTGTTTTTGTTGTTGATGGTGTTTTTTGTTTGATTTTGTGTTTTTTTGTTGTTTTTTTTGTGTTTTTTTGTGTTTTTTTTTTAATTTTTTTTTGTTGGTTTGCTTTTAATCAACATCAGATACAATTCCCATTGTAAATTTGTTTTTAAACTGTCCTTTCAACTAAATAATAGAAAAAGAAGTTTCAAGTACCAGAAGAGCCATTGCTTCTTCATATTATCTTGTTAATTATCATAAAACTTTAAAAAAAATCAAATTAATTTTTTACAATATATAACAAAGAATAAAAAAAAACACATTTCTATACCATATTAATTTACTTCGATACAGGTCTCATGTATTTATTTATTTCATCAGTTTTAATTGTTTGTTTTTTTGTCATTTATTTTTCTTGATAGAAAATATTTCAATTGCAATCCGCTCTCGGCTCTTAAATGTAGTACACAAGTTAAGTAGAGGGGAAAAAACGATCTGAGGCAATAAAACGTAATTAACCTGTAATTAAATTACAATTACTCTAATCTATTAAGTATAAAATCATTTATATGAAAATGTTTGTTACTACGTATTGCTGTTTTACTCACAATTTTATCGCTGCATCTCGAATATTTACAGCCGACCTATACCACCCAAATTTTTGCTCTTTTTTGCGGAAATAAAAAAAACTAATTTAATTAATTATTGGCATTATCGCTTTGTCTCCGTTAAAGACGAAAAGGGAAATAAAACTGAAAGATCAAAAAGACCGTATCGTAGATTTTGGCATATGCAACTTTTATTAAATTATTTCATTTGCATTTTAAAAAGAATCCGTCGCACGTGAACTCGTGCATTTGGCACCAATTACGGATGAGATGGTGGTTCAAAAATACCGTCAATTACTTGATTAAACTCTCGCAAGATAAGAGAAATATAGTTTGGCATTAAACTCGTCTGATATCTGCAGATAGGCAAGGCTTATAAGTCATTTTCATTTAGCGTTTCTTTGAACTTTGAACAAAATCTGAGCCTTATCTCGATTTCTTTTGCAAAAAAATTTGTTTATTGACGAAAAACCGAAAAACTCATTTTGCGTAGAGGGAATGAAATGCATGCAATGTTTTCTTGTAATATAAAATTAATCTACATTTTAGAGAAATGTATTTTTAAATCCTTATTTCCCATCAAAATAGTGACAAAGTTGATGGAACAGCGTGATTTGGACTTGATTTAATCAAGAATATGTACGGAAAGGATCTGTTCAGAAGATGTGATACATTTTTATCATATCCGAATGTAATTTTGTAATGAGAAATTCAACTAAAAATGATAAAATGTAATAAGATAAGGCCTCTTAAAACGCGCCTATTAAATTTAGAGACATAGTGCTTTACATGTAGATTTAATTGACTTTTGTAGATTTAATCAAAGTCAAAATTTTAAGTAATATGTAGTTTCAATCATGAACATTTTAAAACTCGTTTTCTTTATTTTTTTCATTATTAATTTTACTACAGTTGATCGTAATCAAATTGTTGGATGTGACGGTGGGAGTGAATGGAATTCATACATTTTTAGTCATATTGTTTTTCTTAAAAAATCATCGCTAAGCATGTCCCTTTAAAATTTATTATTTTGTGATACTCTGTCCCTTTAATTCTTAATTACCGACCGTTCATTACCAATATGCACACCCCTTGACCGTCTAAGATAATATTTGCACGGTAATAATTTCAGACATCTTATTTCCATTCCCCCCAGGACTTCCGGCTCACTTAAGCAATACCTACTCGAACTATTTTCTTACCATCTTGATAGCACGAGTTACACGTGCAATCCATATTGTCTTCTTAATCTACCTTTTTACTATTTATATATTTGTAAAAAGCATTATTCGTTTAAAACATACTCAGCGACGAGAGTGTAAAAATAAACAATTTCTCATAGCTTATGAATGAGAATTAATTGTGAAGAAATAAATATAGTGTACTTAGCCAAGAAATAATTTCGCCCACCCTAGTGCAATGTTAATCGGGTTCAAGGTCCACGTTTTTAACTTGACGAAAAATATAACATGTCAGGGCAATGAAATTTATTTATGATAAAGACTATACGGCTTATTAACAAAACATTTTCGTCAAAGGTATTTGGTTATAACATTCATCACTTTATCATCGCTATCATCATAACCGTGGTCCGTCCTCCGCTTCCTTGTCGTCGTCATCGTCGTCGTCATTACAATCATCAACATCATCATTATCATTTTAAATCTTTATCATTATCATCGGCTGAAGAAACATCTTCTTCATCATCATTATTATCATACTCGTCATACTCGTCATCATCATAAACATCATCATCATCATCATCATCATCATCATCATCAACAACAACAACAACACCATCACCATCATCATGGACGTCGTCATTGTCATGATTATAATCATCATCATCATCAACATCGTCATCATCATCATCATCTTCATTAACAACAACAAACAACAACAACAACAACAACAACAAAAACAACAATATTATCAACATTAATACCACCACCACCATCATCACGAGTATCCCCATAGTGAGATCATCGTCATCAATATTTTCCAAACACTATCTGTTCATCAAGTTTAAAAACGTTCAGCTTTTAACCTTTAAGACGCGTTTAAAAATGCTGTCATATAAAACTGACCTATTTTCATGTGACTTGTTTCTTTTAAATTAAGTCATAGCCTTGTTTGAGGCAGCTCCCAAACAAAGACCACCCCGGCCGTAAAGACATATGTGTCACTTCCAATTTTTTCTCTTAAATTTGGAAATAAAAGGATAATTTGCATTATTTAAAAAAAAAAGACAATTCTGTCATTTCCAATTGCGGTTTAAAATAAAACCATTGCACCTTACGATTTATTTAACATTAGTGTTAAATTCCGGCAATTCAGATAGTTTAAGAAGGAAGGGCAAATTCATTAATTACCCACAAATTGAAAGTAAATGATCCTAACTAATTCCTGAAATTGGGCGGAAAATTGGCCATTGGTTTCGGGAGATAATTCCTAATCCGGTGCAGAGTTTTTGTCTGGTTTTCAATGAATTTCTACTGGATTAAACATACAAAAACAACGTTTTAAGCTTGTTTCTGATTTTAAATTACGTTTCAAACCAATTATGTGGAATGTTTAGAGATTTCGTTTTTCAGAGTTTGTCCTTTTATTTATTTACTTAAATAGTAAACTAGTCTACAGTATGTCAACAATTTTACGTAGTTCTTTATAAGATCTCATTGTTGTTCCAATGACAAAGTTGGCCGATTCATTCAAAAGCGATGACCTAATAAAATGCTGGACAAGGTGCTTATCCGTGCATTTTTAAAGCCACTGGACCATAGTAGATATAATTTTTACCGATCTTGTCCATAGAAACATATAAAATATTAATTAGAACTCTTTGCTATTACACGTGGATACTTCCTTCATTGCTCGCTATTATTAAACTTTCACCGTTATTGTTATATAAATTTGAGCGAGATATGAAATAAAATAAAATTAAACGGAGGAAAAACGTTCCAGCTGGCGAGAACAACTTGGCATGAGTCATGCACCTGCGCAATAAAATAAGTACCAATTTATCTTAATTTTTGTTGCAAAGGACGTAGAAAAACTTTAATTCAAACTCAATCTATCATCGTATTGTTTCGTTATTAACAAGTTCCTGTCCTACACCAAAGCTTAATTAGTAGTGAAAATAATCGCAAAATTCCGTTAGTAAAGGCCCATCACCAAGACAAGAATATTATAATGTTGTAGAGTAAAGCAGTGAACTTTGGCTAATTACCGGAAGAATACAGAAACGTGTATTTACATACATTAATAAAGAAAGCAGTGCTGCGATACAGAACTATGACGGGTACCGGCTGTTAGCCAGGACAGATAATAAAGATACGTGCCTTCATAGAACTTCGAACTACGGTACTAAATCACCGAGGTTATCTTGAATATAAAATGAAAATTATTGATACTGGAATACATTATGACGCCTTGTTTTGATAACTTTGATTCTTATTCTGATTCGATTTTTTCTCTCTCAAGATTTTCGTGAATGAAAGTTTGCAACCCACCTAGCTGGCCTTCACCTTGGACATGGTCTTATTTAGGGTCAGGGTTTGACCCTTCCAAAAGGAAAACTTTAAAAGATTCTCTACAAAAGCAGGAATTATCAAGATGAAAGCTATATTTTATACGTTCACAAGAAAATTAAGACTTGTTAATTGAGTAAATTCTCTGTAGTAAGAAATTTATCTTTCCTTGAAAAAACTTATGTGTCAAATTCAATTTTGCTTTGTTAATACGACATTGGATCACAGGAACTCTAATTTATCAAAAACAACGTACCCATAAGATACGTGAACTTACACCTAATTTGCCTTTTTTAACTTAAACAAAACCCTCATATCTAAAAAATTTAGCACAATTTATTCTCATACAACCCTTTATCCAATTATCGCCCGTAATGAATTCAAGATGCTTAAATTTTGACAAATTGTCGATCAATTTGCAACAAAATGATAAGAGACGTCAATTTTCGTGTTAGTTTAACAATTTATAGAGCACTACGAATAATGCCTCCTAATAAATAAACGGCATGTTCCTCAAGATAAAAATATTTGATGATTATATTTGTACAGGATTACGGTAATATATCTAATGTCTTAAAGATAAAAAGACCTGATTTACAGCTTGATTTACAAGTGTCAGGGGGTGGGGTGAGATATGCGGTGCAGCGCAATAGGTGGGCTTATGAA